ATTCACCACCCCCTTCTTCTTGAACATCCACCTACCCGAGAGACATCTTAGCAGTAATTGGCATGTCATGACAAGCCGCCCATATTCAGAATACCATAATGACAGGCACTCCCAACATGAAACCACTATTACAAATTACCATTTGCAGTGCAGTAGCTTAGTTCACAGGTATCAGTATAATAATATTCCTTTATAATACTTAAAAAAAATTATTTGGTAGAGGGTCTCACTATATAGCTTGGACTTGTAGTGATCCTTCTGTCTCAACCTCCCCAGTGTTGGGATCACATGTGTGCGCCACCACCCCCAGTTTCAGTGGCTGACGTGGTGCGCCCGGAGTCCTGGGGCTGGCACAACATGGGAGACTGGAGATCTAACTCCTGGTCCTTGTGCTTGCCAGGCAGGTGCTTAGACTGCTGAGCTATCTCCCCAGCCCCAATATTTCTTTAAATCTATCTTTTTTTTTAATTTTATGGAAGGGTCTACAGGGTGTTCAGGGTCTTACTACTAGATCAGATTTGTAGTGATCCACCTGTTTACAGCCTCCCAAGAGCTGGGATTACAGGCACACGCCACCAGCCCAGTCTCAATCTCTGTCAGCACAACCTGGGGGTGAGGCTGGCATGTCAGGCCCAAGGATCAAACCCCTGGCCACTGCACCTGCTTGCAGGCACTTTAATCTGCTGAGCTATTTGGCGGGGGTGGGGGGAACCCTTGTTTTTAATTTTTGACAGTACTGGGGAAGGGTCTTCTCACTGAGTGATAGCCAAGTCCTTGTTTTATTATTTTTTTGAGATGATGTCACCAAGTTGCCCAGGCTAGGCATGATTTTATGATGTTCCTGTTACAGCCTCTGAGTGCTGGGATCATAGGTGTGCACCACCATGCTTGGTCAAGTATAAGAATTTTTTTTTTTTTTTTTTTTGCGGAACCGGGGATTGAACTCAGGCCCTTGTGCTTGCCAGAGAAGCACTTATTCCACTAAGCCATCTCCCCGGCCCCCTAAGTATAAGAATGTTGTCCTTCATCTGCTGAGTACATTTATACTTGTAGACTCATCTTCATTAATGATTCCATGTTTAGTAGATCTATTTGAAGCCAGTACTGAATACAAACATGAAAGTTAGATCTTTTAGAATATTTTGCTGAGTTTACACACCTATAATATTTAAATGATAGAACTTAACAAAAAAAAGGGATACAGATGAATATCCATTTTGTATCTGTGTATTCAAAGTGGTTAGGATAGATATATAGTTACATTCTCTAATGAATAGAGGGATTTATTCTAATGGTGTTTGTAAATAGGATATCATGTCCGCATCTTGTACAGCAATTAACCACTAGGAAGAATGTATGCAATGTGTTAATTATTGAAACTGTCCTACCATTTGGTTTGAAAATGTCTCATTGCTATTTGTTTCTCAATAAAATTATGGAAAAAAAAAAAAAAGAAATTTAGAAAAAGCTAATGTCTTTGTAAAGGGAATGTGCCTTCCTCTTATTGGCAGCTTGAGACTGAGTTGGAAGTGTAAGGGGAAATTGTTGGGAAAAAATCTGAATTGCTTTTTTCTCGTACTGGGGATTGAACTCAGGGATGCTGTATTACAGAGCTACATGTGGAGCCTTTTTTATTTTGAGCTGCTCTCCCTGACTTGTTCAAATTGATCTCAAACTTGTGATCCTCCTGCATTAGTCTCCCAAATAGCTTGGGTTATAGGCATGCACCATCATACCCAGCTTTTATCTGTGTTACTGGTTTTTCAGTTCAGGCTAATTGTGGATTACTTTGTTATGTGTTTTTGTAACACAAAATGATGTAACAGGAGTTTTATTTCCTTGTGGTAGAAGCAAAAGGAGAACCTGACTTTTATTTTATTTTATTTATTTATTTATTTATTTATTTTTTGGTGGAACCGGGGATTGAACTCAGGCCCTTGCGTTTGCCAGGCAAGCGCTTATTCTACTGAGCCATCTCCCCGGCCCTGTGACTTTTAAATACAGTATTAGAAAGCTTAACAAGCAAAGCTAAGGTTGATAGATGTCTCCTGCCCAACCCAGGGCCTCAAGCATGGTAAAGCAAATGGCTGTCACTGAGCTGCATCCCCAGCCCAGAGAAGATTGAAGTGACGGTTTTTGCTTTCTTCTTTTTGTATTAAAATAGTTTCTTGCTAGGTATGGTGGTGCATGCCTCTAATCCCAGCACTTGGGATCTTGAGGCAGGAGGATCACTGTGTAGCCTGATGCACATAGTGAGTTTAAAGCCAGTGTGAACTACATAGTGAGACTCTTTCTCAACAGAACAGCCCCCGTATTAACCGCCTTACTACTCTGTTTCAGGAGACTGAGTGCCCTCTGCGGCTTGCTCTCTGCCAGCACTGTGATTTGGAACTTTCTGTTCTCAAACTGAAGGAACATGAAGATTACTGTGGTGCGCGGACAGAGCTGTGTAGCAGCTGTGGGCGCAATGTCCTTGTGAAAGATCTGAAGACTCACCCTGAAGTCTGTGGGAGACGGGAGGAGGAAAAGAGAAATGAGGGTGCGGTACCTCCAAATACATATGAAGAGTCTTGGGGTCAAGGTGGAATCTGGATTGCATCCCAGCTCCTTAGACAAATTGAGGCACTGGACCCACACACAAGGCTACCTCGAAGGCACCTGCAAGCCCTGGAGTCAGACCTTTTCCACAGTAGGACTGCCAACCAAAGGAACATGACAGCGCATTTTCCAGTTGAGAATAATCTATGTGAGTTGTGCCTGGAGTTAGAAAATGATGTAGTATCAAAATTTCAGGGAGCTAAGTGTGGGCACATGGTTGTAATCCCAGCTCTCTGGAGGCTGAGGCAGGAGAATTACAAGTTAGAGGCCAACCTAAACTATATATATATATAGTGAGTTTGTAGCTGGCCTAAACTACATACTGAGACCCTGTTCTAAGTCCCAAGGTAATTGGAAACTGGGGTGTAGTGGGCCAAATAGATCTTTTTTTTTTTTTGCAGAACCAGGGATTGAACTGAGGCCCTTGAACTTGCCAGGCAAGCGCTTATTCTACTGAGCTATCTCCCCAGCCCCAAATAGATCTTAATTATAGAAACCTGACTATAGCAGGTTAGTATTAGAACACCTAACTTTCCTATTAAGTGGGAATAATAGAACCTTTTTACTATTAAGTTACAGTTAGAGTTGATCATGATGATGAGAGTACTAAAAGTAGCTGACTCTTGCCAGGTGTGGTGGCACATGCCTCTAACTCCAGCACTTGGAGGCTGAGGCAAGAGGATCTCCATGAGTTTGAGTGCAGCCTCGGCTACAGAGTGAGCTCAAGGCCAGTCAGAACTAAGTACTGAGATCCTGTCTGAGTAACAAAAAAGAAAAGCTGACTGTTACATTGTGTGAACTTCAGTGTTTGTAGAGTGCTTTACATGTATTAACTCATTTAATTTTCCGAATAATGATAGGGTAGGTAATTGGTACAGTTGAGGTTTGAATTCAGGCAGTCTGACCTTTTTTTTTAAAGAGACCCTGTCTTTATTTATTTATTTAATTTATTTATTTATTTTTGTGTGTGGCCAGCTCAGCCCACCAGGGGGCGGGGCTGGCTGGCATGTGGTGATGGGGGATTGAACCGTGGTCACTGTGCTTTGCTAAGCTTGTTCTAAGTAGGTGCTTTAGACCGCTGAGCCATCTCACCAGCCCATCAGGCAGTCTGACCTTATGCTTGGAAAATGTTGGGCAAATTGCTATAAGCTCAGTAATATTCCTTTTTTTAAAATGACTTTTAAAAATATTATTTAGTCATTTGTTTATTTGTTACATGGTCCTGCTAAGCAGTTCAGACTCATAATGATCCTGGGGAGACTGTCTCAATCTCCCCAGTGCTGGGATTACAAGTGTGCACCACCGTGTTCATGTCATGGGGCCCACATGGTGTGTCGGGGGTTCTGAAGTGGCAGGGCATGTGGTACTGGGGATTGAACCCCAGTCCTTGTGCTTGCGAGGCAGGCGCTTAGACCACTGAGCTATCTCCCCAGTGCAGTAATGCTTTTTTTTTTTTTTTTTTTTTGAACTGGGGATTGAACTCAGACCCTTGTGCTTGCCAGGCAAGCGCTTATTCTACTGAACCATCTCCCCAGCCCCTGCTGCTTTTAATAATACACTATTAAAATAGTAACAGAGCCTGGTCTCATAGCAGGCAATATTCAGAGACCCATGAGAATGAGGTCAAAGGTGGTCATGGTGGAGTTGTGTGCATTTTGAGCCTTGACCATTTGCTAGGCGTGGACTTGAGGGGCAGCAGCGTCACCAGTGTGTCCTGAGTACTGCTTGCTCTTTTTCAGTTGAAGAACAAGAAAGGCAGGAAAGGAATAGAGGCCAGAACCCCCCCTCAAAGGGTGGCGAAGATTCTGCAAACTGGGACTTCATGTTGGCCCTAAGTCTGCAGAATGAGGGCCAGGCCACCAGCATGGCAGAACAGGACTTCTGGAGGGCTGTGTGTGAGGCAGACCAGGCTCATGATGGTCCCCATTCTCAGAATGACATAAAGGGTAGGTTTGCCTATTCTGCACTAGCTTCTCTCTAATTTTTGTTAGTCTTTGTACAACTCACATGAACATGAAAGATTTCAATGGGATTAGAATTTGCTTGTTTTTGGTTTGCTTTTTTTGTTTTCCCAACTTTTAAATGTCAGAATATAGTTGGCCAAGGTGGTATGTGTCTTTCATCCCAGCCGCTTAGGGGGCTGAGGTGGGTGGGGTGGCGTATTTGAGGTCAGCTGGACAACACAGTGATAGCTCATTTTGAAAAAAATAAGTGGAGTGCAGATCTACTGTCTGCTCAGCAATTTAATACCATACCTATCTTTATATAGCATTTTGCCTGAGCCAGTTGAGAGTAAGTCATGGGGCATTTTATGCTTAAATACTTCATTATATGTCTCTTGACAAGTATTTTCTGTGTAAATGCAATAAATGTACCTCTCAGGAAATTTAACATAAATTCTCTACTTCAATATTAAATCCTTTAGGACATTTGTTTTAATCTCTTTATCTTTTTTGCGGGGGGGGGGGTACCAGGAAACAAACTCAGGACCTTGGGCTTGCCAGGCAGGCACTGTGCCACTGAGGTATATAACTGGCCTCAGGTTTTTTTTTTTAATTTATATTTAGTATAGGGTCTACAGAGTCTCATTATGTAGATCGGACTTGTAGTGATCCTCCTGTTTACAGCCTCCCAAGCGCTAGGATTATAGGCGCGCACCCCCCATGACCAGTCTCAGTCACCTGTCTCAGCACACCCTGGGGGTGGGGCCCACACAACAGGCCTGGGACTGAACTGATGGCCCTTGCATCTGCCTATGCAAGCACTATAATCCACTGAGCTATTTGGCCAGCCCTATGGCCTCAGGGTTTTTGTGCAATTTTTTTTTTTTTTCAATTTAGATTTATGTATTTTTTTGGTTTTTTGGTTTTTTTGAGACAGGGTCTCACTATGTAGTTCAGGTTGGTCTTGAACTTCCAGTGATCCTCCTGTTTGCTTCCTGAGTGCTGGGATTACAGATGTTTGCCACCACGCCCAGCTACACTTTTGTTAAGAATGCTCATTGGCGCGTCTGAGTCTTTCTTGAGGTGTCAGCTTGTCTTGTTATTCACTGTTACACAGGTAGCTTTTCTCTTTGTGAGAGCCCCTTGGGAGGGAGCATTGTAAGATTGGTGGGTATGGAATATTTGCGGTCGTATCTGGCCATTTTGGTACTCATGTTTCTTGCTTGATTCAGATATTACTAAGGTTATTATAAGTTGGTGAATTTTCTTCTTTGTATCTTTTTATTTTTCATAACAAGGTCTCATGTAGTTCAGGCTGATCTTGGACTCACTGTGTAGCCCAGACAGGGCTTAGACTTGCTGCAGTATTCCTGCCCAGCACCCAGTGCTAGGATTATAGGTGTGCACCAACATTCCCAGCTATCCTTTATATTTACTAGTTCCCATTTTTCCAATTTTCCACTCCCACACCATTTAAAAACAAAGGAATTTCTCTTTTAGTATTGTTGGGCTTATGGATTAGAGTCAGTTTTTAGGGACATAGGCCTTGGGTTCAGTTCCAATTACTTTTTTTTTTATTTTATTTTTTAAAATGTTTCAGGGCTGATGAGATGGCTCAGTGGTCTAAGGCACCTACTTAGAACAAGCTGCAACAAAGCATATGGACCGCGGTTCAATCCCCCAGCACCACATGCCAGCCAGCCCAGCCCCCTGGTGGGCTGAGCTGGCCACACACACACACACACACACACACACACACAAATAAATAAAAAATTAAAAAAAAAAAAAAAGTTTCATTTTATTTATTTATTTTTTGTGGCCAGCTCAGCCCACCTGGGGGCTGGGCTGGCTGGCATGTGGTGCTGGGGGATCAAACCGCGGTCCCTGTGCTTTGCTAAGCTTGTTCTAAATAGGTGCGCTAGACCACTGAGCCATCTCACCAGCCCCAGTTCCAATTACTTAACCCAAGGAAAAGAAGGCAGCTTAAAAAAAAAAAAAGCAGCTTATATTTTAAATAAAATAAGTTAGGAAAAAAAAAAGGTCAGATAGTTAATGGTAATACTCCCTTCTGAATCTCTTGTGTAGAAACTATCCTCAGGTATTTGAATGATGTATGTAAAATTACAATACTCATTGTAAGATTATAAGGACCTGAAAATTAAATAGCTCTCCAAACTGTCATTTTCCTTCATTCCACTATATGGATAATGACTTGAAGAACTGTAGAACTACTTTTTAACATTTTGTTCCTTTAGATGAAATAGTGATTAGTCCTGACTCAGACATCAGCTTTTTTTTTTTTTTTTTAGCAGTACTGGGCCTTGTACCCAGAGCCTTCTCATTAAACCAATCCCCAGCTCATATTTATTTACTTTTTTGAGATATGAGTCTCACTGTGTAATTCAGGCTGCCCTTGAACTCACTATCCTCCTGCCTCAGCCTCCCATGTGCTGGGTTACAGGTGTGTATCATCATACCTGGTACTATTTAATTTTGAGATAGGGTCTTGCTAAGTTCAGTTGCCTGGGGAGGGCCCAATTTTGTGGTTCTCCTACTGCAGGCTCCCAGAGTGCTAAGATTTTAGGTATGTACCACCCTGCTTGGCTCTATAATCAAACTGTTCTGTAAAACTCCAGAAGGGGAATAAAAGTTGAAGTCAAGTTGGTTTTCATTCCATTTGAGCCTAACCATGTGGCCTGCTATCTAGGTACAGCTGACAAGACCATGTTGCCTTGTGAGTTTTGTGAGGAGCTCTACCCAGAGGAACTGCTGATTGACCATCAGGTGTGTTGAACATTAACTGTATAATGTTTTGTTTTGCTTTGCTTTGTTTTGTTTTGTTTTGTGACAGGGTCTTACTATGTAGTCTTTGCTGGCCTCAGACTTGGGGCAATGGTCCTGCCTCAGCCTCCGAAGTGCTGGGATTACAAGCATGTGCCACCATACCAGGCAACTGGTAGGCTTTAAGTAGGAATGTGAGTAGGCCCTATGTGATGCAAACTTTCATGTATTTATTTTTAGTTGTTTTTTTCTTTTTTTTTTGAGACAGGGTCTTGCTGTATAGTTCAGGCTGTCCCTGAATTCACTATATAGCCCAGGGTGGCCTCTAATTTGTGACAGTCCTCCTGCCTCTGCCTCCCTGGTGCTGGGATTATAGGCATGAACCACAACATCCAGCTTTTTTTTTAATTGTTTAAAAATTTTTCTTAAGAGCTAGATGTAGTGGTGTACACTTAGAGTCCCAACACTTTGAGGCTGGTTAGGAGGATCATCATGAGTTTGAGGCCAGTCTGAGCTGCATAGCGAGTTTAGGGCCAACCTGGACTATAACGCAAGATCCTATTTCAAAAAAATCATAGAGAAAAAACAAAACTTCTTACTGCATTTGTGGTACGTAATGAATATGTTCACTGTGAGGAAATGGTGCATATGCATATTACATTAGTCCTTTTTATTGCCCCTTCCCCTTCCCTCCTCGCCTTCTTCCTGTAGCCCTACATCTGTTTTCTTTCTTTCTTTTTTTTTTTTAATTAATTTATTTTGTGTGTGTGTGGCCAGTTCAGCCCAGCACGGGGGTGGGGCTGGCTGGCATGTGGTGCTGGGGGATTGAACCGCGGTCCCTTGTGCTTTGCTAAGCTTGTTCTAAGTAGGTGCTTTAGACCACTGAGCCATCTCACCAGCCCCCTAGATCTGTTTTCTATCTGCAAAAGACCTACCTCCCTATTTCCTATGGCGTTTTATTTCGTTGAGCAAATTTTTAATACCATGCCTGTGGTGGGAATAGCAACTGTTCTTCCTATGGTGTAACTGACATGGATGTGGAATCTCAGCTTTGTTTCCACTTAGAAAAAGTAATGCTTGGGGCTGGGGAGATAGCTCAGTAGAATAAGCGCTTGCTTGGCAAGCACAAAGGCCTGAGTTCAATCCCCGGTTCCGAAAAAAAAAAAAAAAAGAAAAAGTAATGCTCGTCCCAGCAGCGCCAGTGGTCTCATCCCAGCGGACTTGCTGTGTGGCGCTAACTGGTTGTACATCTCTTCTGAAGCCACAGTTTGAATTATGAGAGCTCTACTGAAGCCCTTCCTGCATCTTACTTTCTCTGCCTGAAGGTGCACGCCAGTACTTGCTCAACACACCCAGCTACATAGACCCTAACCTGTCCGCTGGGCGTGGGTGTGACTTTCAGGACATCATCTTTAGGGAGCCTCTGCAGGTCAGGTCAGGGTTGTACCTGTGTGCCAGTTTTCTGATAGCCTTTCACCTTGGAAGTTGGTCTCCATCCAGTTGGGCTGAGTTCCCTGGGAGTAAGTTCTAGATTTTCCTTAGTTTCTAAATTTCTTATTACCTGGTATATAGAAGGTATGAAATCTTTTTTTTTTTTTTTTTTTTTGAACCAGGGATCAAACTCAGGCCCTTGTGTTTGCCAGGGAAGCGCTTATTTCACTGAGCTATTTCCCCGGCCCCTGAAATCATTTTTGAATGATTGAAAGTTCTGGAGCCATGCAGGAATGATGAGAGGACAGTTCTTACAGGGGCAACCACTAGGTCTCCTTGACAGTCTTTGGTCTGTCCTTTGGCCTTGTCTCTCCCCCCCCCCCCCGTAGTTTTTTGAGATAAGGTCTCATTGTATAGTTCAGGCTGACCTTGAACCCCTGGCAGTCCTCCTGCCTCAATCTCCTGAGTGGAATTATAGGTGTATGCCACCATGCCTGGCTCATCTGGCATTTCTTTTTTTGCTTTTGTTTTTTGAAACAGGAATGCTTGTGGTTGAGACTGGCCATGATTTCACTATGTAGCCCAAAATGCCCTTGAGCTCCCTGCGATCCTCTTGCCACCTGCTTCCCAAGTGCTGGAATTACAGGTGTTCATTTTCATGTCTGGCTTGCTTTTTTTTTTTTTTGTATACCAGGGATGGAACTTGGGACCTTGCGCTTGCCACGCAGGAGCTTGTGCCTCTGAGCCATCTGCCCAGCTCGTGTCTGACTTTCTAAGACCACTAAGTAATTCCTGTACTGTAGATGATGGAGCATACCTTCCTTTATAGATGGAAAGATGTGCTTTGTTTTTGAGCTGGAAATCAAACTCAGGTCCTTATACTTGCCAGGCAGGAACTTTGCCTCTGAGCTATATCCCTGGCCAAGATGTGCTATTTGAATACCTCAATTTTTTTTTTTTTTTTTCTTTCAATGTGTTTAGCATAGGGTCTCACTACACAGATCGGACTTATAGTGATTCTTCTGTTTTTCAGCCTCCCAAGCTGGATTACAGGCCTGCACCACCATGCTCTGTCTCATTTGAAGTCTCAGTATGCCCTGGGGGTGGGACTGGCACTGCAGGCCTGGGTTTGAACCTCTGGCCCCTGCATCTGCCTAAGCAGATGCTTTAATCCACTGAGCTATCTGGCCAGCCCTGGATACCTCTTAATTTTTGTTTGGGGAGCCATGTAGGAATATTTAACAAAGATAGTGAAGAGTATTTGAATTTGGGCCCCTCTTTTACTGTATTGCACCAGGACTTTTAGAAACTTTTAAATTTTTTTGTAGTGTTTTAAAAAGAATAGTTGGGCTCAGGATGTAACTCAGCAGAAGAGCATCTGCCTGACAGGCTCACGGTCCTGAGTTTGATTCCAGTACCAAAAAAAAAAAAATCATCCAGATCCCAAGCCAAGGGATGGACCAGCACTGAGGCAGGAGAATCATCAACTTGAGACCAGCTTGATCTATATAGCAAGATCCTGTCTTTAAATAATAATAATAATAATAATAATAATAATAATAATATGGGGCTAGTGAGATAGCTCAGGGAACTAAGTGCCTGCTTAGGTAATCACAAGGACTGGGGTGTGATCCCTAGCACCACATGCCACATCAGCCCAGCCTCTGGGCACGCTGAGCTGGCCACCAAGACTAGGCGTGGTGACACATACCTGCAATCCCAGCACTTGGGAGGCTGAAAACAGGAGGGTCACTATGAGTCCGAGCTGGGTAGTGAGACCCTGTACGAAATACATTTAAAAAAAAATGGCTTGTGGAAAATACTTTAGGAATGTAGTTTTTTTTCCTTAACACCTAATTTATTTAATTTTTTTATTTTCTTTTACAGACAAGTTGTAACCCTTCACGTGCCTTACCTTTGCTCAGTACTGGAAGCTCTCCCCCGAGGCGGGAGGAGGATCCTGATGTCATCTTCCAGAGCTTCCTGCAGCAGGCTACAAATAATCAGTTGGACTCTTTGATGGGCCTGAGTGACTCAGCCCCTGTGGGAGACAGTATCATCATCCCATGTGAATTTTGTGGGGTACAGCTGGAAGAAGAGGTGCTATTTCATCATCAGGTTAGAGCCCTTAGAGGACTCATCTACCTGACTCTGTGCTAACCTTCTGTGAGTGAATTTGTGGCTTCCTAAGCCAAGAACAGCATTTTAGCTTTAGGGCGCATTCGAATACACACCTGGCTTGTGGCTATGTCAGGTCCTGTGAGCCAGCTACCTGAGGTACCCACTGCTTCAGGCCTAGACTGAACCACCAGATCTGGAGTTAAGGACATAAGAGCAAGGACTCTACCTGAGCAGGCATGGAGGCCTTGCAGGCCAGGTTTATGTAAGTCTCCCTGAGGCCTCTGTTTGCTCAGGAAGATTCTTACCATGTGCCTTTTGACACTTGGATTTTAGGAGGTCCGGAGGCCCAGTTCTACCTTTGCCCTCTGACTGGCTTTAGGTGGATCCTCTTGTATCTTCCTGGGGATAACGAGAGAGTTGGACTAGATAATTTGAAGCTGTTTTTCAGCTTTTCTAGTCTTGGATTCTCATTCCCATTTACTGGAAAATACATTTTCTGCTTAATCTTATTATGAAGAGCTACTAAAATATGTCCTTCCTTGATGTTAGTATAGCATACATTTCATTTCTGTAAGAAACACTTCTCTTTTTTTTTTTTTTTTTTTGGTACCTGGAATTGAACTCAGGCCCCCCTTTTGCTTTTGGATCTAGAAGTTGACGGGGTCAGGGATATAGCTCAGTGGTACAGCGCTGCCTGGCAAGCACAAGGTCATGAGTTTCATTCCTGGTACCAAAAAGAAAGAAAAGAAGTAGTAGATAACTGCTGGTTGCCTGCTAGAAGAGACTGTGAAATAAGCCAGCGTGTGTGGTCAGAGCATAGGTGTGCTCTACCTATGACTCCTGGGACCAGGCCTTCATCTCTAGCCACATCAGAAAGAGCTCCTGCCAGTGCCTCAGGTGCTTCCAGGCGTGGCTTCTCCACTCCAGCGATGCCTAGGACTTTCATAGTAGTTGTCAGAGTGTCTCTTAGATGGGCTGTGATCAACCCATCTGCTCTTCTTCCCTTTCTTCACTCTCCATTCTGAGGTATTAAGTTTAGCTTTCTTTTAGGACCAGTGTGACCAACGCCCGGCCACAGCCAGCCACCATGTGATGGAGGGGATTCCTCAGCAGGACTCCCAGCCTCACGCGACCTCACCAGAGCTGCCCAGGAGGCGTGTCAGACACCAGGGTAAGAGTCAAGGCTGCAGTCCACTCCCTTTGCTTATCTGCACTAAAGTGGCCCCTTGTATCCTGGGTTAGCAAGCCCCCTCCAAGGGCTCCTGCACTAATTTTGGGCCCACATTATACTGTTTTGCTGAATGTAGATTAGGTGGCAGTGGGTTTAGGTACAGTCATGTGACACACTCATAGTGCTTCTGTGCCATAGGTGTCAGTGCACTTTATTGTTATTTCTGAACATCATGACTGAGTCATGAGGCAAGTCAGTTGTTTTTGAAACTTAAAAAAGGTAGCTAGAAAGTATATTTGAAGGTTTGCTCTCACACTGTTGCGGAACAAGTAGGAGGGTGTCTGTATTTGAGGAATCAGGTAATTAATGTGGAGAGAACTAAGTGTTCTCTCCAGGGATGTGGTCGCCAGTGTTAACTTAGGGGTGAGCACTGTAGTTGTCTTGTATCTAGAACATTTTGTTTCTGCCCACCCTGAATCCAGCACTAATAGCACGAGCACACTTTCCCTAAAGCTCACCAGGAGATGGCTCAGTGGAATAAGCGCTTCCCTGGCAAGCGCAAGGGCCTGAGTTCAGTCCGGGTTCCGCCAAAAGAAAAACAAAAGAAAAAAATCCATAAAGCTCTAACTATTTTCTCTTTCCAGGAGACCTGTCTTCTGGTTACATGGATGATATCAAGCAGGAAGCAGCTAGAGGCTCCACCAGCAATGCGGCGGAGAACATGACAACCAGCTGTACCCAAATGTCAGATCCCACATCAGCCCCCAGATCTGGTTGCCAGCCCAGCCCTCCCCGGGTGGTGAAGCTCAGCAACTCAGATAGCCAGGGCGCCCGGGGGCGGAATCGAAACGGCCCCATTGGGGCCCAGGCTGCTGCGCCTGCTCCGGGGATGCACTCCATGCGCAGTCTGTATCCAGAAAGCCTTGTGCCCTCTTTCTCTCGAGGGCCTGTAGGGAGGCATGGAGCCAGGTGAGAATCAGTCTGGAAATGGAGCTTGGGGTCCTGAAGAGAATGTGGGTATACAGTCTGTTCCTCCAACTCAGCCTAGATGAGTCTAAGGCCCATGGGGAGGGGGCTAGAATCCAGGGCTTCAGGCATGGGGAGACCTGCTGTGCCACTGAGCTACATACCAGCCCATGGAGAAGAGTTTGGGATTTTCCTGTACTGTCATCTGTTCCTAAAGAGTTCTTTCGGTATTGGGGAGATGGCTTAATAGAATAAGCGCTTCCCTGGCAAGCACAAGGGTCTGAGTTCAATCCCCAGTTCCACCAAAAAAAAGTTCTTTCACTGTCCATGGATTGTTTGTCTGATAGTGGAGAGCTGTGTGTGGCCTGGTAAATCCGTTTTGTTCCGAGTTTTTAGACCTTTGCTCAGGAGGTACTCAGTTTTCATCCTTTTCTTTCAGTGGTAGGAGTGAAGGTGGCAGGAGCTCCCGAGTCCCCCCTGCAGCCACCAGTTACCGTGGCAGAACTGCAAAGGTAACCTGAGTCCGAGCCCATGATGCTCACACGTGGTGGGGCTGTGCAGCTGGTGGAGCCCGAGGAGTCATGGTGATGAGCTGGCTCTGACTAGATATCTTCAGGGCCCCAGGGGGGCAGTGCTGTTGTATTTCCGTGTAAAACTTCTTTGTTTTTCCGTAGGCCAAGCCCCCAAAGCAGCAGGGAGCTGGGGATGCGGAAGAAGAGGAGGAGGAGGAGGAGTGATGGAGTCTGCGGAGACCCCTCCCCTGGGGCCCTACCTTCTATGCAGAGCAGCACCTGCCGTGGATCAGGCCCCACCTCCCTGGCTCTTTAGGCAGGGCAGATTTTCCAGATTTTAACTTTTTCTAGGTTATGGCCATTTTTTGTGTCTTTTCAGATTGTGTTGTGAAAGTTTGGGGTTTGAGGGAGGGTTAGCACGGAAACTGTTGGGAGCCAACTTTCAGCCTTAGCTGCCACTTCGGGCAGCAGTGATCACACAAGTTCTGGCCTCTGCCCACTGGGGCTCTGCCTTTTGAAATACCATCACCACTGCTTCTGGGTGCTCTGTGGTTCTGGTGGGAGGGAGAAGAGGGTTCTGGAAATCTGTAGCCACCAGTGAAGTGATTGTTTTCCCTGTGGGGGCTACCACGTGGGGCGTCTAGGTGACTCTTCTGTTACTGCTCCTGCCTGCTTCAGACTCCGGGCCCCTGGCGTGTGGAACACCTCTGAAAGTGCTCAGGCCTGTGGCACTGTTAGGGAGGAGGCCTCCAGAGAGGGGTTGGCCGGAGCTGCGTGGACTGGGGGTGTCTGAAGCTGCTTCCTTGTTGTTTGGCGTCACTGTTTCTGTTCCTGGTAGGTATTGTGGCCCCTTTGTTCTCCCTGCCCTCTGTGGAGAGTGAGGGATGCCTGTGCCCGATGGGTCATGCTGGGCTGCAGTCCCATGCTTCCTCTGAAAATCAAGCGTCAGAGCTACTTTCCCCTTTATTTTACTATAATTGCTATCAGCCTCCTTATAATAGAAATAAAATTTGTACTTGGAGTTCAGCTAAGTCTTGTACTTCCTTCTCTGAGCTCTGGAGACTCCAGGGAAGCCAGCAGGGGCAGGAGTGGCCTGGGTTGGGAGGTGCACAGGGTCCTCCAGGGCCCTCTGCCCTGCGGCTCCAGCCTGCAGCGCACAGGACATTGAAGGCACAACGCCCTTATTTCATTTGGACTTTGAAGAAACTGAGCTTGTACAGCTGCAGTCCCTGGAGATAGTCTCCAAGGACCTCAGTCCTGCGAGTAGATGGGCACGGCTGGAAGCCCCCCACCCCCCATGCCTCCTGGTTTGCATAGCACCATCTAGGATCGGGTGTCATTGGCGCTCACATGTGCCAACCCTCTGTTGGGGACAGCACGAGTTCTCCCACTTCTTGGAAGGGCCAGGACTCTGCAAAGAATCGTCCTGGGAAGAGCCAGACCGGAAGGCAATTCCTTCAGTTTTGAGGTTCCTCGTATGTCAGGAGGCACTTACTCCTCACATGTCAGGGAGGCCTTTCTGACAGATGCAGCCAGAGGGTGGACATGCAGGGCTTCTGGTGGCCTGGAAAGCCCTGAGGACTTGGCGGAGAGACCAGGACAGTGGTGACTTCCCCACATCTGCCAGAGAATTCTGTCACCCACCACTGCCTTCAGTATAGTGAGACCTGCCCAGAAGCAACCTTAATTCCTCTCCCCATGTTGAATTAGGTAACTGGCTAAGTAACACTGGGCTGGCTTGTGCTTTTTAGTAAAATGGGGTTTCTAATGTTTTGCAATGGAGATACATTTTAAGAGTAGTACTTAAAACAGGCAAATACAGCTACAGAGTTAAGTCCCTTGTCTTCCCCCCAAATCACTTCCAAAATCACTACATTTGGTTTTTAAGCTATTTGTTCTAATTTCCATACCTGGCATGGCTGTTACTTTTGAAAAATTGATTCTGGGCTTCCTGGCATATGCCTGTAGTCACAATACTTGGGAGGCTGTGGCAGGAGGATTGCTGTGAGTTGGAAGCCAGCCTGGGCTTGATAGTGAGTTCAAGGCCAGTTTAAACTTACATAGCAAGACCCTGTCTCAAGAAAAAGGGGGAGTGGATATGTAAAACATGACATCTAACATTTTAATCAATTTAAAGTTTAGACTACCAACCGGGCATGGTGGTGTGTGCCTGTGATCCCAGCACTCAGCTGAGGCAGGAGGATCATTTTGAGTTTGAGACCAGCCTGGCTTACAAATTGAGCTCAAGGCCAGCCTGAACTGCATGCTGAGAGCCTGTCTCAAAACGACAAAAAGGTTATAGTGGCACCAAGTGTATGTTACTTGTCAGGTTGCAGCCATCACCATTTCCAGAATTTTGATCCCCAAAAACCTCAGTACCTGCTAACCAGACCCCGAGCACAAGTCTGATTTGGGCAGATCTGCCTCTCCTCTCCTCCTGCACTATTTGAAAGGTATTTTTGTTAGGATACAGGGTTGTAGGTTGATAGTATTTTTCCTTTTAATGGCCTAATGTGGGTCCACTGTCTCTGAGTTTGCCTTCCCCCTAGGACACATCTGCTGTTTTCATCTCTGACTTCCCCTGCCTCCCGCGCCCGTCGTGGGATGGTGCATGTTTCTGTTTGGTTTTCGTGGTGGGGATCGGACTCGGGGCCTTTGCACTGGGCTACGTCCGCAGCCCTTTTTATATTTTTGAGAAAGCTAAGTCATCACCGTGCCCACTTGTGATCCTCATGCCTCGGCCTCCTGGAGTGTGGCAGTTGCAGGTACGTGCCGTCATTCCTGGCTAATACTTTGTCTTGTACTTCTGTGGTTGTGATTTGGGGGTCTTCCCTCTGCACTCGCGTGTCTTGGCACACTGCGGCTCCTAGTTCTTGCCAGAGGGAATCGGCTCGCCCGCCCCGCCCACCCGCATCTGCAGGCCTTCCCTCGGGCTGCGAGCAAGATCTGCCTGCCTTGCTCAGCAGGAGTGGGGATGGGACGGTCCCTTGCTGGACTTTCCCCATTTTAGTCTCATCTTTCCCTCAAGGTCTAGGAGATGGAATTGTCAGCTTTTTCTCCACAATATTTTTTGGGGGCCTGGGGGTACTGGGAATTGAACTCAGGACCTTGCACTTGCCAGGCAGGTGCGTAAGCCCCTGGCCACAACATCAGTTCCGATCTTCAGTTTCGATGCTGACATGAACTTCTATTCCTGTTTTTTGGCATACTGGGCCTCAAATTCTTCCCCTTAGACCTTAATTTAAAGGGTGCAAATAACCTTGCCTCCTATTGTATGCTGGCTGAACCATCAGTGCTACTGGGGATTGAGCCCAGGGCCTGTGCACTGAGCTACATTTCCAGGCCTTTTTATTTTGGGACAAGGTCCCCCTAATCGGTAAATTCCTTATATTAGGCTCAGACTTGTGACCCTCCTGCCTCAGCCTCCCAGGGTGTTGGGCTTGCATTTTTTTTCCTTCAGCAGTCTTCATTCAGAAATTGTGGACTGAAATTGCACATTTGGTTCCTTAAGGGTGGAACATGTTTGAGTTCCTTGGGGTGTGCTTTAACAAACTATGCTGAGTAACTCCTGCCCGGAAGGATACAACTTGCTGTATCACACCTGTCACCCACCCCGACCAACGCAGCCTTCGTGCTTCCGCCGTCACTCCCACGTCTTAGCAGGGACGGTTTGTCCCTTGGTACTGTGTTCCACGGGGTGCTTTGAGGACGAGCTGTGGCTAGGCCTTCGCCCAGTGGCCAGGCCTGGCATTGCCTGCCTGTGCTCCCTCCTCCTGTGTTCTGGCAGATGTTTCTTCGGGGTTTGTAGTAGGGGAAGGATGTGGTGGGCGGTGACAGGATGCAGATCTGCCATTGGTGGCCAGCACACTGCGCTCCTGGGCGTACTTTTCGAGAGACCCCAAGGAGACGGGGAGCCCTTGCTCCACGGCAGAGCGCAGGCCTCTCCTGACTCCAGCTCCCTGAGCGGCTGGCAGGAAGACACAGAGCAGCTGCTCCTCGCCCCACAGTGAAGATGTTCAGAGCACCGCAGCCTTTAGGGCGTGAGGGTGGAGCGAACAAGGAGGCGGCGGCAGCGGCAGCGGCAGCGGCGGCAGGATCGCCTGAGCACAGCAGCGGTGAGCAGGCCAGGGAGAGCTGAGGCGGTTCTCCCAGTGTAGACCACAGTTTCCTGGCGGTGGGAGGCTGCCTCGCAAGAGGGCGTTGCCTGCTGCTTTTGAGGGCTGCAGCGGCTGGCGGCGAGCTTGGGGGCGGGGCAAGAACCACGTCAAGTGCAAACTGTGATAATTAGAAACAGTTTAATTCCCAGCCACTCGGGGGTGCTCAAGAATCGGAGCCATCCAGGGTCAGCCTTGGACTTGCTCAGCAAGAGCAGATGATCACACTCTTAGGGTCAGTAGGAATTAGATGAAGGGTATTTATTGGTGTGACTTTTGTCCTGTAGTGAGCTTCCTTTACACAGCAGAGTGTAAATAGCATCAGATTGAATGAAAAGTCTGTTAAATGCAACCATAAATAATTATAATAAATATACATCAAGTAACTTTACAGCACACATTTTTTAGGGCCAAGGTTTGGATCCGTCTGGACCTCTGCTCTCTGGGAGAAGCAGCTGAGCTAGCAGCAGATCCCATGTCTTACGGCTGTCACTATCGCACGATGGCCCACCGAAGCTTCCTGAACTCCTCGAGGAGGTGACTGGCAGAATTCCAGTCCATTCACAGGATGCAAGGGGCCGGGAACTAGGTATTTAAGGATATGGGGAGGAAAATCACTTCTAGTAAATTCAAGGGCTCTTTCATTATGCACAAAAGAAATCAGAGGATCCTTGTTTTCAGGAACACAGTCCTGATGTGACCCCCGCCAAGGGGGCTATGGCCCCCAGGAAGCAGCAGTGACCATCTTTCTGAGCAGGGGACCTGCTTGTGGCACTCCCCTGCAGGTGACTCCTGTACCATGCGGCTGACCGGGCCTATCAACCTTCGGCTCATCTCGCCCTCAGGTCAGGGAATCTCCTCTGCGGTGGTCCTCAGGAGATGGCTACTGGCTCTGACTGAGGCCCACTCCTTGGTGGCCCGGCCCTGCAGAGGAGGAGCGTGTCCCCTCAGCCAGCAGTCCCGCTGGCTCAGCTTTCCAACAGCATCACTAAGGACTTCTGTGTGCACAACGGTGGAGATAAATACAGCGCCGCAGTTCCGGGGAACTGACGAGGCCCGGAGCGAGTGTCCGATGGATGGTGTGTGCTGCTCAACAAAGTACCACTGGACAAGGACTCATTTGGGGCACAAATGTACTGGGCAGTGGGTGAACCTGGAGGTGGCTCAGCCCTGGCACACATGTAACTGGGGGTATGCGGGTGGGGGGCACGGACGGTCGGAGTCACGGAGCAGAGCTCCTCAGCCGCCCCGTTACATGGGCGTGAGCCCCCCGGCCCCTGCAGCGTGGAGGCCGCGCGGAGCACAGGAGCGGGGGGCTCGGGTCCTGTGCTGCCCTCCGCCAGCTCCAGAGAAGGCGGCGCCTGAGCAGTTCCTCAGCTCTGTCCCTTGCCACTGGGACACAACCAGGCTGTCCATTGACTAAGGCCAAGAAGGTCCTTAGGGATACTCAGACCAGGGGTGAGGAGAACACAGGCAGCAGGGGGGCTGCTGGCTGCGGGGGTGCGGGGCAGGGTAGTCCTGTGGGCACAGGACAGGGCGAGCCTCAGGGAGCTGGACACCGAGAGCCCCGCGAAAGTGTGGGTGCTGGCCCAGCCACTGCAGGTGGAGGAGCAACGCCAGCTCGCCAGGAAGGCAGGGCCGGCTGGGGATGGCCACGGTCACCTCCCTGCCAACTCCCTGTTGGGTGGTTCTGCGAGGAACCACATGGGCCTTATGGCGTCAGAATCTGGTACCCACGAGGGACACTATCCGGGAAGATCAAATGAGACAAACTGGGAACGGAACTAGCCTACAAATATACCACGAACAGGCAGCAAAAGAACCAACCCATCACAAAACGTACAAATACAAAAGGGGAAGTCTTCCAGGAGG